ACTACCATACAGTTTATTAATATAGTAGTGTCTGATGCTATTCTAAACGTCCTCTATAGGACAATTCAACCAAATTGTTTGGTCACCTTTTGACTTCATTTTTTTTTTTTTGCATAAGCCTTTACAGTCTTAAAACTGTCCGTGTCGGGATTTTTTTCGGACTAAACCATTGCTTATTTGTTCAGTCTTCTCCAGTAGTACTTTTCGAGTAATTACACGCCCATCACTTAACATCACTTTTGGAAAGTTTCTGAAAGTCTCTATTTTCTGCTTCGACCGCTTCTGTTATTAATAGTGTCAGTTTCACGTATCTTCTTCAGAGCCTTGCATACATCCAATAATAAATCATACACTATTGCCACAATTTGATTTATACAAGCTTTTCATTTGGAGTTTCAGTCCTGGATGGCATAACTGGCATCACGTTACTACTACTGGGAATAGTATAACTGCCTGTACATTTATAGGATTTGTACTGGCGTGGCACTTTCTGATTGGTTGGAAAATAATCGGTCACAGTATGAACTATCAGCGCGTAAACGTACACTGGTGCCGTTAATTTTTACACGATAAAGAGAAGGCATTCTTATAGTATTTGTATAGTTTGTATATTTTTCAGAATATTCGACATCAGCGAGAATATTTAGTGCGAGCAGTTGATCTGTAATCCAATTGATATTATATTTTTAAACTTGTAATTTATGTCTAGTTTTTCATTATTGTTTTTGTCTTTATGCGCTGACTGTAACTAATATCTTAGGAATATTTACACCTAGAGCCTGAAGATGTAATTTCTGATGTTTTACTGCTTATAAGAGTAAACTGTTCAAACTCATCATGTTAACTTTCAGAATATGTTCAAACCTAAGGATACAAACAATATTAACATAGTTAAGTATTAAACACAAACATACATTTATCCATGAAGAAAATAATCAGTTTTACACATCTCGTTACATTTCGTTTCCTATTAACTTCGGCCCGACATGGCCAGGTGGTTAGGGCGCCCGACTCGCAATCTGAGGGTCGCGGGTTCGAATCCCCCGTCTCACCAAACATGCTCGCCCTTTCAGCCGTGGGGCGTTATAATGTGACGGTCAATCCCACTATTCGTTGGTAAAAGAGTAGCCCAAGAGTTGGCGGTGGGTGGTGATGACTAGCTGCTTTCGCTCTAGTTTTACACTGCTAAATTACGGACGGCTAGCGCAGATAGCCCTTGTGTAGCTTTGCGCAAAATTCAAAACAAAGAAACTTATTAACTTTTCCTTGATGGTTACAGTGCCATCTGTTACATTCGCTTCGAATTATTAATGGACTTATTTATTCCACTTTTAACATTTTAGCCTCACAATATATTTCTCAGTTTCAATTCATTTCTGTTTGTATGTTTTTCCAATTAATAGTTCCATAAGAATCATCATAACATGTCGCTGGTTTTCAAAATAATTTTTGATTCTCTGGTGGATAACTATATATATATACGAAACAAAATGGTAGTTTTGCCCCCCCCCTCCCAAAAAAAAAGAAAATAACGAAAAGAAGAAGTATTTTCTGTTTACATAGTTTATTGCCACCCCGATGGCTTAGCGATCAGTCTGAAGGCTTTATAACTTTAAAAATCTCGATTCGCTACTAGTGTGGGAAACAGTACAGGTGGCCGATTGTGTAGTTTTGTGCTTATTACTAAAGATACGAACATAGTTTATTCATTATGCGTAAAATATGCATTCTTGTTACTCTTCTCCAGAATTATAAGTCACAAATGTTTGTTTGTTTAATCCTGAACATTATGTACTTCTAGAACAGGTATGTAAAAAATTTCATTCACCAATATTGCCTAATTTTGATGCTAAGACCTATGTGGCCCGGCATGGCCAGGTGGTTAGGGCGCTCGACTCACAATCCGAGGGTCGCGGGTTCGAATCCCCGTCACACCAAACATGCTCGCCCTTTCAGCCGTGGGGGCGTTATAATGTGACGGTCAATCCCACTATTCGTTGGTAAAAGAGTAGCCCAAGAGTTGGCAGTGGGTGGTGATGACTAGCTGCCTTCCCTGTCTTACACTGCTAAATTAGGGACGGCTAGCGCAGATAGCCCTCGTGTAGCTTTGCGCGAAATTCAAAAACAAACAAACAAACTAAAACCTACGTAAAGATTTCCAGAAAACTTCGAAATTTCCAGTACTTCCAATATCTGTCCAGCAATTGAAAATATAGTACAAGTATCCTTCCCTTGGTGGAATGGATGTGAAAAGGAAAGTTCAGTGTACACAATTTTGCAAAGTTTATTCGCCTAGAATGTGCAATCTGCTTTAAAATGGCAATCAAAATATCCTGCATTTCGTCATTATTCAGTGCTTAAGGAAGCAACTCCGGAAAGTATGTACGTCAAAAGCAATATCGAACCTTGGACTGAGCACTTGTAACGAGAGCACCTAGCGACTACGTACAGTAGATTCTTACTTTATCTCTCGCAAATTACACGTTATTTAATAATCCTAGCGCTAGCGACATGAAGCAATAAATTTAACCTGCATCTACTTAACTGAAGTAGATACTTAACTCTCTTTAGCTCTAAATAAATATTCTTTCTTAAAGCATGCTTCATTAATAGTGATTGAAAAACAACGTCGATTAATAAACATCTCCTCCTCTTCACCTAGTCACTCTCGTTCCCACAGTTAATTTCGCATAGCTTAGCTCAGATTGAGAGTGTTATGTGGCGCCAGTGCTGCTTTTGGCTCTTTCTTAGACGTTCTTAATTAAAGGTAACACACTTTCCAATCCCACGTAATCTACGTGGTGTTGTAATATTATCAACATCCTAATCTGCATATTACTTGTATAAGTAGCTGCTTTTTAAAGGTCTAATTAAAATATAATGATTACAGTGTAAGTGTCTTGGATTGATGTAACACAGAAAAATACGTGAAAACAGTCTAAAATTTACAATGGTGGAAACATTTATTGCATCACCCAATTTTTTTTTCTTGGTTCTTGTAACTTTTTACGAGATTGTGCATTGTGGAAGTGGCCATTGTAGTTTATCGACAAAAGTGGTCACAGCGTCCGTTTCTAGTTTTAATATTTGATTTTGCTCCTCTGGCCTTGATAACTGCTTGACATCATCATGGCATAGAGTGCATCAGGAAACGAATATAAGTAGGGTTGAGTTTATGATGCCACACTCTGATTAGGGCTTCCTGCAGTTCCAAGGTTTCTTCTCTTGCACTTTGTTACCAATTAACTTTCAGCAGTTTTCGATAGGGTTGAGATCTGGGCTGTTGCCTGGTCAGCATAGTGTCTTGATCATCTCCTTCTGAAGATAGTCATTCACCTGAAGCAATGAAATAAAACCTAAGATGTCTTTTAAATACACGTAGAGTGAAATGTTCTCTTTATTTCACGTCTACTTCATAGAGTGCGTGAATATGACCAACTGTTTTAGTGTTGTGACATGGAACAGAGTCATCCTGAAATGTGTACTGGTCAGCTCCATTGAACAGATCCCGAATTGATACCCTTAACTATGACTCGAAGATCTCGATGTATTTGTCGACGTTGACAGTGCATTTCACAAAATTCAGGCGAATCACTTCCTGACCAAAGATGCATCCTCATATCACCTGACGCTACAGATGCTTCACAGTTGCATTCAAGCATGCAGGATGAAACTCCTCTCCACGTCAATGTCGTACAAATTGCTTCCCATCACATTCGTACAGGTTGAACTTTGATTAATCTGAGAAGATCTCCTTGATCTACATTGCTCAGTCCATTCAGCGTGTTCTTTGGCCAGGTTGAGCCTCATCTTGTTGGTGAGGAGAGGTTTCTTTCTTGGCTGTCTTGCTGAAGTTTCCTGTCAAGTTCGTTTTAGAGTTGTTGACGACAGATGACAATTTTATTGGCTAATGCGTTTCAAAACACGATGGTCAGCTGCTGTTGTAGCTCCACACAGCCAGTCTCGCTATATCTCTGCACCCAGCGGATCACAGTAGACAGGTTACATTTAATTCTTCCAGCAGTCTGCCTTCTCGAAAGTCCCTCTTTGCTCAAAGAAACAATGTCTGTTTTTTGTCGTGTAATTCACTCGCAACCCATGGTCATGGTAGCATCGCACGCACGTTATAGCAAAGAAGCTTATAAACTGACTCTCAGTAAGAACGTTTATTTGTAGTCAAAAAGCTTTTGATGCAATGCCCAGACAATCTATAAAGCTACTCATATAATAATTAGACAACATTACATCATTCATGTAACACATTTGTATCTACATGCATTGGGTCCTCAAAGCAGGCAATGATTCCGAAGAAAAGCGTGAAAAAATTGGGTGATGCAAAAAATTCTTCACCACTGTACATTCATTTGGGCTCCTAATTCACCTAAAAATCATAATTGAGTTACACTGAATAAAATGTGTTGTGGCTTACAGTTTGGCTTCTACTTCAAAAGTTCAATTTTCTACAAAGTGAATAAAATGTGTTGTGGTGAAGTAGAAGCCAAACTGTAGGTAAGTTCAGTTTTATACTAAATGAATAAAATGATTGTTTGTTTGTGTTGAATTTCACACAAAGCTACACGAGGGCTATCTGCGCTAAATAAAATTATTTGTTTGTTTCTTTGTTAGTAATTAAACATAAAGCTACACAATGAAATATCTGTGCTCTGCCCACCACGGGTATCGAAACCCGGATTCTAGCGTTGTATGTCCGCAGACTTAGCGCTGTGCCACTGGGGGACAAATAAAATGATACAATGTAAGTAATGCAAGTTGCGTCTTTTTTCTATGTTTATGTGATATCACGAACTGTTTGAGCTAAAACAGAATTTTGCCTTTTTGTCACTTAAGCGTTTTTGGATTAATATAGATCTGAAAACGCGCTTTAGGTATTAGTATAGTTTCCAAGACTTTAGTAAATTTTCATTGTATTAAACACTTAATTTTTCTTAGTTTACACTAAATACATAAATATTTTTATCGAAACTTACTATCTCCTGCAGAGTCCATCAAGAACAAGAGCGGCAAATTCTAGCCTCAACCAATGATCTTGTTTCATCAACAGCTATAGAAAATATACCTACAGAAGCAACGCCCCTCGACGATTATCCAAATGACCGCAGTAGAGAATGTGAAAAGGTACCTGCAGCCTCACTGTTAAGAAACAAAATGTTGTCCGAAGATAGTGCTCAACAAAAACGACTGCTCATGAGTTCTATAATACTGACTCAGTCTTTTCCCTCTATGTCTGTTCCTCAACCATCAGACACCAAGGTTTCATCTTCCAGTTCTTCAAGAATTTCTTCCTCTTCTACATTTCCTTCCTTGTCTCATCTTCATGATCGTGTCTTTAGTTTTAGTCTCAATGACCTTTCTCCAAACAGTTCAAAATATTCTCAACGAAGAAAGGTCGCTGATGGGTGCATCAAAAGGTCGTGTTCTTTTTCAGACCTTAGAACCCTGAAGACAAGACCACGGCTAAATGACCTAGATGCTTCAGATTTGAAACTTCACCCCAACTACAGGAACTTCAATTTGAATCTTTCAAGCCATCAAAAGCATAAGCCTACTCTTTTTCTCCAATATTCCATTGACGACCAACAGCTATATTCCTTGTCTAAAGAAGAAATAATCCATAGGTGGCGAACCACAGAACGACAGATGTTAAACAGATTAAGAGAAGCTTTGAAACAAAAGGCAGAGTTAGAAGAAAAGCTTTCATATCTTAAAAAAACGCTTTTACGACCACCTTGAAATACCATGGGATTAATTCATTGGCAAAAAATATCTTGGGATAAGCTCGTGAAAAATCACTTGGTTGGGAAGAACAATATAAAAATCATTTTGTTTTAGAAAACTTTTATATTTGAAGCCTGAAATTTCTAGCGATAGAAAAGAATGAGCATGGAAGGTTCTTCGGGTTCTAAATATTTGTGATATAACACCAGAATTTAAGGTTGACAGAAGCTTAAAATGCTATGATATAGGACCGCATTAAATATTCTTTCATAATCAGTAATTTTGTAGGTTTGCCAGTCAATCTTCTTGTTTGTTGACATCACAGTATATAGAACATAAAATTCTAAAAGGAAAAACTAGTTTTGCTAAGGCAGTTCCGCCTGGAACTGGTTTCATAATGAATCATTTTTAAAAAATATTGCTAAACTTTAATCTCATCTTATTTGGCCGCTCTTTCTTGGTGATGTTTTGGGAAAGCAGCTTGATGGTTAGTTTAGTTAGAGATTACTTTTTTACTGCATTAGTTTGGTCGTTTACAATGACCGCTTAGAACGTTTAGACTAAATAGTTATATCAATAACAATGACAATTATATATACTGGTATAGCCTAGAATGGTTGTTATAGGTTAGTAATGCTTTGATTTGTCTGTTTGTTTAACAGACAAACAGTTTAATTGCTATGTTTAACAAACATTTTAATTGGTGTCTTTAACAGACAGTTTAATTGGTATGTTTAGCAGATAGTTTAATTGGTGTCTTAACAGACAGTTTAATTGGTATGTTTAACAAACATTTTAATTGGTGTCTTTAACAGACAGTTTAATTGGTATGTTTAGCAGATAGTTTAATTAGAGTTTTAAGATATAGTCTAATTAGTGTTTTTAACAGACATTTTGACTGGTATGTTTACCAGACAGTTTAATTGGTATCTTTAACAGACAGCTTAATTGGTCCTAATACACATCAGCGTAAAATTTCTAAAACATTGTAGCAATATAAAGATTATGTAAAATCTATTGGACGCCGTCTAAGTAAACTATATTCTTGCATTAAAGGTTACTAAGTTCTTAATAATTATTAAAAGTTTATTCTTATCCAATTTCAAGCAAGAAACGAAGATTTTTAACATTTTAAAGATTATTCTACTAATTGGCAACAAATAATTTATTGGTAAACTTGTGAGGTAAACAGCGTGCAGTAATAGTTAGAAATAAAATATTGTTCTCTTGATGCAGCTGCAAAGGTTTATATTTTTTGTAGTTACCTTCAAACAACGACCTTTAGGGTTAGTGAAACTGCTCGTCACATCAGTGGTAACACAGCACTGCCATTAACACAGTTATCACGTAGTATTAGCTTATTATCACATTTTTAATTTACTTTTTTAATAAGAAGATTATAAAAGTTTCAGGCGATAGTTTCTTGCTGTTAAATTTCTATGAGAGCTGACAAGACTTTCTATAGAAAAGTTTCGTTCAATTCTTGTTATTAACTTCGCGACATTAATAAGATCACTAAATCTTTGTTTGTTTTTAATTGTGAAACAAACTAAAGACATTTCTAGGGTAAAAAAAATCGGTGTACAGCGAAATGGTAAACCAAACAAACTGTAGAGTATTTTGTAAGCTATAGGAAATTATATTTATTTAAAAGTATGCATCTCTTTGGAAACTAATTTGTTTTCCAAATAATTAAGTGTTTTTGAATAAGATACTCTAGTGGCCATAAAGTTATTAAAAATCCCTAAATTATAAGCAATATATAATATATTTTCGATTGTCTCTGAATATCGATCTGATGTCGTATTTGACCTGGTGTAATTAACCAGAGGTTTCACGAATGTTGATTGAGAAAGATTTAAGTTAGGTAAGACTAGTGTTATTGTTTTTTTACAATAAAAACTTTGAAATTGGTTTATTTTTTGTTAAGCCCAAAGGTGCAAATGGGCTATCTGTTTTCTGGCAACCATGAGTATGGAAACCCGAATTTTAGCATTGTAAGTCTGCAGACTGACCGCTGAGCAACAGAGAGACAACAAATTTGGAAAACCACTGGATGTAAAGTTAAGACATCAGCATCTACATCTCCAGAGAAATAGTAACTAACCTGGTCTTACCAAGTCTGGGAGATTTGTGGTTTTAATGTACTAAGCATTTTAACTTATTAGCTTAATACTAAAAACAATTTATTAAAATATGTTTACTACTATCATACAAGTGTGGTGTCACCATGTTATGTTTACTGCTATCATACGAGTGTGGTGTCACCATGTTATGTTTACTGCTATCATACCATGTTCAGTTGGATAATTGTCCCACATTTCTCTAACGTAGTTTTTGAAGCACCCAAAATTTTTACCTCAATAGCCTGAAATTTATCCATAAAATATATTTTATCTGACTGGAAAAACCTGGTGAGGTTTTTTTTTTATTATTATTCCTGTAAACTCCCAGTTGAGCATAGGGCCGCAACAACACCTCCCAACGGAAGTTGTTGTTGCAGTTTCTTGTAACAGGGGTGGAGTTGCTAGCCCTTTGCCATCCTGTACTTGGGACCAGGTAAAGGCGGAGGTTGGCACGTTTGGTGTGACGGGGATTCGAACCCGCGACCCTCAGATTACGAGTCGAGAGCCCTGGCCATGCCGGGCCATCTGGTAAGGTTGAATTTGGTACTAATGATTTCTTTCTAGCTTTACGGTAATTCTGCTATATTCTGTAATAGTAGTCACGTGATTTATAAATGTAGAAAACAAATCTTAATGTGAGTTTATATCATCTCGAACATCTAGGTAGTTGACTAGTTGAAAACTGGATTTGACGTTGATCCATAGTGTTGTGTGTTGTATTAAGATTTTTATTTCTTTAACATTGCAGATAATGGATTAAGTCGGTTGGAACTCACTGTTGAGTCTAGCGTTAGCTTAGATTTCCCGTGAAAGGTTATGTTAAGTTTATAAAATCACTATAAGCATGATTAACTAGATATCCATTGTCTCTAACTAATCCAGTTGCCAGTATATTTCGTTCTGAAAAATAAATAACAAAAATGTTAACTAAACGATTTGCGATAAGTTTTACATTAAGCATTGTGCTTTGAGAGGTATAACAATGCAATTTCAATAAAATAGCGATAAGGATGACGTGGCTACTGCGTCTTGTTCTGTATATTTATCTTAATAGTGGATAGTTAGCTATATATCTTGTTGAGGAATAGGTCCTTACGTGTGGCCTAGATACCAAGACAAAGTTTTATTAATAAAAGATCACTGTACACTTTTTGTACTTAACCTAAATCTATCAACATTGGCGTCATCTGTTGATTATAATGGGTTTGGTTTGAATTCCATGCAAAACTAAACGAGGGCTATGTGTACTAGCCGTCCCTAATTTAGGCAGTGAAAGACTAGAGGGAAAACAGCTAGTCAACACCACCCACCACCAACTCTTGTCTACACTTTTACCAACGAATAGTGAGATTGACTGTGACATTAAAACATCCCCACGGCTGAAAAGGCGAATATATTTAGTGAAGAGGATTCGAACCCGCGACCCTCAGGTTGCGAATCGAGCGCCCTAACCACCAGGCTTCTATAATGGGTGCTTAAATATTCAGTTATTTGAGTTATGTTATCGTTCGGTTTTTTTATGGGTAGAGAGAAGGGTAGGAGTTTCTTCTCTCACAAATTTAATACCAGCAACATTAGGACTTGCGTCTCAATAACGATAAATATTGATTCTAAATATGTATTTATGGTTTAAATGAAGAAAATAACGAATATCTAAAATATCTGTAAAACAGAAAGAAAAAAAGAATGAAAAGTTTCGAAACGTGGATCATTGTTGTTGATATTAGTCGTTGTATGTTCGAGAGATAGCGCTGAATAGCCTAATAGGCAGACAACTACGACAAAGCCATCAATTCTAATTTTTAGAAATAAACTTGATAATATATTTGAACCAAATGTAACTCTAAACGGACTTCTATTTAACTGCATCAGTCTATTCGCATTATTTTCTAATGCAATATATACCTCTTGTTTTACATGTATTAATCGAATGTTTTACAACAGGAGAGGTTTGTTGCTATATTTTTGATTCTCAATATCGATAACAAAGTTAATCCCTAACCTTATGAAAAAAAATTTAAAACTAAAGTTAAATAAGACAAAATTATATAATTTTTAATAGTGTGTATAATAAATAATAAAAATAAATATTGTTAAATGGGGAAAAAAGGGATATCACAGTTTGTTCTTTGTTTTTAAATTAGGTAGCTGTCATTATTTATTTGAACCTTCAATAAAGAACTAAAATTTGGTACAAGAAATAGTGCTCAAATTCTCAGAATGGTTATTAAAACAAGTCTTTTACCGTATGATAAAAATTTGCTTAATATAGGAAATAAGAGATGGCAGCACTTGCGTATTTTTTGTTTGTTTTACTTATATGAAATGGACAAGTTTGATAAGAATACTTTATTTTCATAGTAACATAAAAGATACATGTAAACCTTCATTGCAATCGCTCTGATCTTCTTATCACTTCAATTAATTTTTCAATAGTATGTCAAATTAAAAATCAAATTTATATTTATATAACAAATACGCAATTGGTCCTAGAATAGAAGAAACATAGTGTTAAATATTTCAGCATTTGGGTCCATCCTCTCACACACTTTGGTATTTAATATCATCTTGAATATGACTAGTCACAATTTTATTTCTAGAATATACCAACTTCAAACTTTAATAACTTAGTTTTGATGTACCGAAAGCTAAATGTGAGAAATACATCAGAAACAGCCACGTGACGATAGTGTAGGTACAAGTTCGACACAAATGTGCCTTACAATAAACGAAATATTAAAACAAACAGTTCCACAATTTACAGAATATAAAGACAGTTATCAAACTAAGCCTAGTACCATTATAAAATATACCCTCGCTGACAAGATAAACGCCACCAAAAGTGTTTCTGTTCTGTTTTGTTTTTGCAGAACGATTATGCGCAAATAGAGCAAAGAATGAAAAAAGGCATATCGCGTTCGATAGATATTTTGATTATTCTCTCCTCTTAAATAATAAATTAACAGTGGTGTTTCTTCCAGTCTCAATATCTCAGTTTCTCTACTAACATTTTGTGTTTTTAATATGACAAACTGTTGTTTTCATATTAAAGTTGAGTCTGTAAGTATCAAAATCAACACTAATGAAATTCACACTGTGAACCGTCAGATTTGTAGAAGGGATTTTTTTTACACAATGTTGTTATGAAAGGTAATAAACGCTAACCCTAATCAGTCTAGAACATCAAACGAATACCAGTTTTAAGAAATTTAAAACATCAACGTTAACTTGGACTCGTGATCTCGGAAATTTCCACCGCTGTCAGAGGTAAACAATGAGGATACCATCTGGAATTTCATTTGAATGTTAGCTGCGTAAGCAACTTGAAAATGTTAGTATAAACTTGAGCATTTTAATTCAAATATTAACACAATCAAGGCTAAGAAATTGAGGTTATAAAGAATGATGCCACTAAGGCTAAACATTTGGTTACTATTTTTGCTGCTGTTGTTGAAAAAGATAAAAGTGAACATTTTACTATTTTGGTTGAATATCTGAATCAATCATTACAATTTCTAAAACCCACTTGTCGAAGGAGCGTCTTTAGTAGAACACTCTTCTTATGAAAATAAAAACAACTTGAACTTTACACTCTGTACATCCAAATATTACCTTAGACTAGGTTTAGCACATCTAAACATTACCTTATTCTTGGCTTAGTACATTAAACATTACCTTTGTCTCGGTTTAGCACATCCAAACATTACCTTATTCTCGGTTTAGCACATCTAAACATTACCTTAGCCTCGGTTTAGTACATCCAAACATTACCTTTGTCTCGGTTTAGCACATCCAAACATTACCTTTGTCTCGGTTTAGCGCATCCAAACATTACCTTTGTCTCGGTTTAGCACATCCAAACATTACCTTAGTCTCGGTTTAGCACATCCAAACATTACCTTTGTCTCGGTTTAGCACATCTAAACATTACCTTAGTCTCGGTTTATTACATCTAAACATTACCTTAGTCTCGGTTTATTACATCTAAACATTACCTTAGTCTCGGTTTATTACATCTAAACATTACCTTTGTCTCGGTTTAGCACATCTAAACATTACCTTAGTCTCGGTTTAGCACATCCAAACAATACCTTTGTCTCGGTTT